CACACACACAGACCCACACAAATGCACACAGATCAGCTTGTCTTCAAATGTGGTATAAGAAAGGAGAAAGGAGAGGATTTGTACAACCTTTTAGGACAGTTGTATGGATTTGTATCATGTATTTATCTTTTTTGGAGGAATTGTTAATATAATGAGTAACTTAAGTTGCCATTGCTAGGCTAATATTATAATTAAGTTAATTAATTGAAAAAAGTTAATTAATTGACGACATGTTTCCTTATGAGCTTGCGTGGGAGGAGGTGTCTCCTGGTGCCATAAGTGTGTAAGAGGACATGTGTCATGCACCGTTGAGCCTTAATCTTTCATTAGACTGTAAGTCTAATACAGCTATCACTCCAAGCGTTGAAGGTCTAAACATGTCTTCTCAAGGGCTAATGTTGGCCAAATGGAACGAATAATGAATATTGTAAAGAGCAAGTTGCCCTTATTGGCTCCTACGTATTACTTTTATGTGATAATGATCTTATCTTGTAAACTGTGTGAAATTAGGGAAAAATTATATTTTCACCTTAAAGATGGTTGTATACATACATACATATATATATGTAAAATAAAGGGTTAAGTGTGGATAGACCCCTGCAGTATCGCCTAATTGCAGATAGACCCCTGTTCTAATTGTGTGGATAGATCCCTGAGATGTATTTTTTAAAACTTTTAAAATGGTAAAAGAAAAAATGTCTTGTAGAGGTGGATAGACCCCTGCAGTTTATTGGTATGGATGGACCCCCCATTGCTTTTTTTAACCCGTAAAAGAGTAAAAAAAAATTCAGTGAGGAGTCTAGCCGCAATACTACAAGGGGTCTATCTGCACAATGAGAACTACAAGGGGTCTAACCGCAACCGGGCGATATATACTACAAGGGGTCTATTCAGTATTCACAATTAACCCTATAATAAAAGAAAGTGAAAGTTGCATTTCTATCAGTACTGTCTCCCCTTTCTTTCTTCAGAAAACTTTGTTAGGGATCAGATTAAAGTTGGGAATAAAGGGAAGAGATGGATGAAGGTGTTCCAAGTGTCGGATTATAATAATGAGTCATCTTGGACATGTCTTACAATCTGGCATTTATATCTCAAATGCATGGCCAATTATCAGTCCTGCATGTATTCATGTGGATTATGGTGTGCCTAAATATTATTTATTTATTTACTTTTTGGCCCCTGTTTCTTGGTGTTGATGATGTGTGTGTGTTCTATTATTTTTTGTTTCAGGTCGATAAGAACCTGTCTTTCCTCAATAGTTATGTGAACCGGGCCATAGAAAAGGGTGCAAAACCCTACATCCCAGAAAGTGAGCGATTAGGATTTTCCAGTGTTGAGAATTACAGAGGCCACTACCAGCAAGAATCTTCCAGTCACGCCCTCAGATTCGAGGCCTACGAACTTCCTAAACCTGCATCAGTTACCAAGGTTCATGCTTCTTCACTGCCGACCCCCGTGACTGACCTTGTGCCAGTTACTGAACCAACTTATGCTAGAGAAACTCATCATGCTCCAAAGACCCTATCCACACCCGATGTTCTATCTGCAGAGGTTGGAGTCAGGCTTCGCCTTGATGGTGTTCAAAAGAAATGGGGCAAGCCTACTTACACATCATCCTCTTCAACACCGTCTAGTTCAACCTCTACCACCCAGAAGTCATCAAATGGAGTGTCGCATCATGAAGTTAGTAGTTCAGTTGACTCAAGGAGATATCAGCAAGTTGAGGTTCCAGCTGAGAAGCAAAGGTTGGCTGCTTCATTATTTGGGGCCTCATCATCCAAAATCGAGAAGAGACCGTTATCATCTACCCACAAGACAGGAAAAAGGACTGCAGTACCATCGTCTTCTGAACCTCTTAAAGAAAAACCAGTTGTTGTTCCTTCCACACCTCCACCAGATCTTCTTGATTTCGGCGAAGAACCAGCTATCACTCCAAGTGTTGCATCTGTCGATCCCTTCATGCAATTAGAAGGTCTTATTGGACCAAACTCAGCTTCATCTCCTGCACCATCACTCGATTCTAAAGCGGCCGATCTTATGGGCTTATTCGATGATACTTCATCAGATGATAGGAATTCCCATGGAGCAGCAAATGTGATTCCTACAAAGAAGGGCCCAAACCCACAAGACTCTTTAGAGAAGGATGCAACTGCGAGGCAAGTTGGGGTGACACCAACAGGGAACAATCCGAACTTGTTTAGGGACTTGTTTGGCTGATGAAGTGTAAATGGTTGAATTCTGTGGTTTAGAATCCGATGCTGAAAAGCATATGTTGATGAAATCGGTTCTTTCAGGATTGGAGATGCAAGTTGTCGGATTTGATTTGTGGAAAAGTTGAGGCCAGTTCGTAGAATGTAGGGTTAAAATACTGAAGAGCAGGGAGTTTTCATGCTAAGGGTAAGGGGCTACAGGAACGTGGGGGGTATACTCCCCTAATGGATACTGCTAGGAACTTTTTGGTTGTGTTTAGGGTTGGTGCTGTAATTTTTATTTTTATTTCTCTTCAGCATAATGGAAATAAGTTTTTGGGCTGTTACGATCTCAATTTCTCTCTTCTTCTCGTCTTTCATGTTTCTCAAATGTAAGTTCTCTGGCCCTCAAACGTGTTTCATTGTGGTATTAGTTGAACGTTGAGTTTGTATTTCTATGAACGGTGTGATGTTACAGCAGCTTGTTGAATAAAAATTTGGACGGCTTTATAAATTGACGTTTCGTGGTTGTCGTCTGGCAGGATGAACTCCTTTCCAGTGTGTCTTGCGAGCATCGTGAAATTTGTGCTTTATCAACTGTTTATGTTGCTCGGTCACGTTACAGATACTGTTGGAGGTCAAAGTTTTGTGATCTCAACTTTCAAATTTCAATCAATGGCTATAAAGTTAATCAGCAGTAAATGTTGGTCCGAACTTGAACGGAAATGCTCTCTCAAGGAATGGTATGAATTGACATTATGAAATCTACGAAATGCTTGACGTGAAATTGAGTGTTAAGCTAGCTGCTGATGTTCTTACCATTGACATTCCACGAAGTTGTAATCTTCTGATAAGTAGTTAGAGGTTATGTTCTCAAAATAAAATAATTTATGCCGTGATGATATTCTTTTTTCTCATGAATATATCCTGACTACCTCTGCCATCACATTTTAGATCTATAATCAGGAGAAAAATCTTCGCCGGTGTGAGACAGAAATTGCGCCGAGCCCCGAGGAAAATGCACTTTTCATCTCGGACATAACTTGAAAATAAGTGAAGGAAAAATGTACTGTGGAGAAGCGATTGTGGCGACTAAGAAGCGACAAGGATTGGTGACCCTCTCTCCTAGGAGGCGTGTGAGAACCATTAATGGAGAAATCTCCATTCAAAAACCTCTTTCTTCCACTTTGCCTCCGCCTCTGTCAAGTGGGACTGAGTTGTCGCGTCCAAAACCATCGACCACAGCACCCTTTCGCCGCCTCCACTCCCAGACCTTTTGCATCCTTTTCTCAAGGAAACCCTAACCCCTCCTCCGCCGCCCCCAAACCATTCACATCATTTGCCAACCTATTCAAGCAACCCCCTATCCCAGAGCAAGAAAAGGGTCTTCTCCCTCTCCATTCAGCTAAGGAGCTTCTTTCTAGCCAAGGATGGACCATAGTGAAGAATTTTTCAAAACAGACCCATTCCCCCTTTTTTTTAAACAGACCCATTTTTTTTTTACCAAAACCGACCCGATTTTGTAATTAGCAGCTTAATCACCATCCTAAACAGTCGGGTTACCAACCCCGACTATTTAGGAAGGTGTTAAACCCTAATTAGATGCCTTAAACCTAAAAAATTAATGTCCTAAATAGTCGGGGTTGCCAACCCCGACTGTTTAGGAAGGTAATTAAGTAGTTAATTACAAAACCGGGTCGGTTTTGGTAAATAAATAAAAAAAGGGTCGGTTTTAAAAAAAAGGGGGGAATGGGTCTGTTTTGAAAAATTCTTCGACCATAGTTGTTCACATGAAGAGAGCACCCAAATCTAGAGCAGATATAAAGGTTCCTTCCCCCATAAACCTAAAAGGTGCTTTCTTTGTGGTGGGGACCTTAACCACATGGCGAGATCCTGCAACCTAAGTTCCTTCACGTGTTTCAGATGTAATCAATTAGGGCGTACCTCTCAAGCTTGCCCATCTACCCTACATCTTGGCCCAGTCTACCCCTTAGTGCTCCCATCCCCATCATCTGCAACCCATCTTCAATCAAAGAGAAAATCCTTAAGCTATCCTCCTTTGGTATCCTCTCCTTAGGGATGGGTTCGCCCTCTATCTTAGAGATTAAGGAAATGCTCGAGTATTGCTTCGACATCAAAGATTTGAATTTTTAGATCCTCCATGTAGAAGCTAATAAATTCTACATTGAATTTCCTTCCCCTGACCTCCGAGACCAAGTTGTTCTCATGGGGTATATTGACATGGGATCTTTGGACGGGACGGTCAGTCAATGGACATAAACTAAAGGCCTCCAAGCCTTCCCAAAGTCAGAACTCTTCAGGATCAAATTGTCAGGTTTCCCCCTCCATCTTTGGAATGGAGACTTTATCTCCGAGTTGCGGAAGGACTATGTTGAAGTATTTGCTTGCTCTGACATTTACATGTACATGGAGGAAATCAATGCTTGCAAAGTCCTCCTCAAAGCCAAATGTCGTATGGACATCCCCAAAGCTATCCCCCTTCCACTACATCTCCCCTGTTAGTGGATGGCTCCTAGAAGGCAAGGCGCTCATAGATTTCCATGGGAAGCCCATTGCAGAAGAGGCACTCAATTCCACCTGCATGAAGGTGATTCCTCCATCCAATTCTCATAGAAGGACCCCATGAGCTTAGTGTTGGATTGGGACTCCGAAGTGCGGCAACCTCTCTAATCCGACTCTCCACCAGTTATACATCCTCCGGTGCAGCCATTGGATACCAATATTAAGGGGGGGAAAGGTCATGAGCAGCTTCAAATTCAGCAGGAAGCGAGGATCATGTGAAGGATTCTGTCCTCCCAGCGCAATCGTTGGAATAACTTAAAAGTTACATTGTTCTCAACTACTCTGTGATGGTAGAAGTTATTGTGGATGGTAAAAGTGTTTTTTTACCACGAGAAAACTAGGATTCTTTTTACTCTAACCTCAGAAAGGGACCACAAGTAGGCCAAAGTACAGAATCTGCTCCTTCCAATCCATCGTCATCTCAGAGGAGCCCCAAATCCAACACAGATCTCTCAGCAAAGAAGTCTATCGATGCCCTTTCATCCTCAGCACAACCTCCAGGTTTTGAAAGATCCCCTCATGTGAGAAGGCGTCGGCGGTCTCCACCTTCTCTCTCTCTCTCTCTCTCTCTCTCTCTCTCTCTCTCTCAGCCACAAGTCGTATCGGAGGTTCCTAGCTGGAACAGGCAAGACTTCTCTCTCCCAGCTCAAAAATGGTCAGTCTACCTCATCTTCTATCCCCTTCTTGCCAATAAATGCTTTGTTACTAGAGTCAATTTCTTCAATTGCTGTCAACTGTGGTGTGCTAGAACCTCTACCTTTAGAGACCATTAGTGACATTAAAGCTTTAGAAGTAGATAGGGCCAAGCTGGCCTCTTAACCCTCTTAGGATGGTCTCTAGCTCTGTGGTTTCTATTACATTCATCTCTGTTTATCTATGAATATATTCTCTTAGAATGTTAGAGGGCTTAACAACCCTACTAGGAGGAGATTAGTCCATGATCGCCTTCTCTTTTCTTGGGTAGATATAGCAGGCATTCAAAAATCCAAACTTAATTCTATGAAAACTAGAACTCTACAAGACATGGGTAGCAATAGAATCAACTATTAATTGGCTCAATTTAGATGCGGATGAGTCTAGAGGTGGTGTGCGCCTAGAATGGAATAGTAACATCTATGACTGCATTAATTCCTACATAGGTATTTTCTCTGTATCTGTTGTACTCCTCCACAAAGTCTCCAATTGGAAATTTGAGGCAACCTCGGCCTATGGACCTTGTGAGAGAGATGATTGAAATTGTCCATCTTCATATGCTTGATCCTCATGTATTTTACTTCTGAAGTGATCCTAAATTTTGCATAGGGAGGTCCTATGATGGGAAATTAAAAGAATTTATTCCACATTACCATCACCTTGGATCCTTTTTAGGGATTTTAATGCCACTCTTAGTCTAGGAGAAAGGAAAGGTAGAACTAGTTCCATTAGGGACATCAACTCCTTCAAAGCTTTAGTTGACTCTCTATTCCTCATGGATCTCCCTCTTAGTGGAAGACAACTCACCTGGTCTAATATGAAGGATGACCCCGGTCTTGCAAAACTTAACAGATTTCTTATCAATGGAGCCTTCCAATCATTTTTTTTCCTTCTTCAATCCAATATGCTTTCCTAGCTTCCTACTCTGACCACTCCCCCCACCCATCATCCTGGACTTAGGAGGTCCAGTCCATAAACCACCATTCAGATTTAAAAAGGTTTGACTCTCACACCCTTCCTTCAAAGACTTCATCTAAGCATGTTACGTATCCTTCAACCATCATGGAAATCTAATTGTAACCTTTAAATTAAAACTCAATCTTCTCAAGAAAACAATCCAGAAAAAATGTATTTGGCTCCATCAAGATTTCCAAGAGAAACATCATTTCCTCCCTTCAAACTCTGGAAGCTACCCAAGACACTTTCTGAGTCTGAAACCTCCTCTAGGGCAGGGCTCAGGTCTAAGCTGGCTGAGATTGCCAAACAAAAAGAAATTATTTGACGTCAAAGATCCAGAATTACCCGGTTAAAGGAGGGAGATAACAACACATCGTTCTTCCAGAAATTTGCCTCCTTCAATAGAAGGAAGAACTTTATCCCTAATATCACTCACAATGGCTATATTATCACTTCTAAGGGAGATAAACAAAAATGTTTCCTCGCTTTCTTTAAAAATCTGTTCTCAGCCAAGAATCAATCTGCCATCAATGTGGACTGGCCTCACCTATACCACAACCCTATCCAAGGCTTATTGGTCTTGATAGGGCTTTCTCCAAAGAAGAAATCAAGGCTACTGTTTTTGTCTCCATCCTGACAAATGTCTTGGTCCTGATAGTTTTTCAATACTCTTCTACAATGAGTTTTGAGAGATCATTAAAGAAGGCATTTATGCTGGCTTTGATGCTCTTCACTCAGACTCTTCACCCCTCCATAATATCAACTTCTCCCTTATCTCCCTTATCCCCAAAGTTAAGGGAGCCTACCAGGTCAAAGATTTTAGACCTATCGGTCTCCTCAATGGACTTTTCAAAATTTTACCAAAGTCCTTGCCAAGAGGCTCTCCCCCTTTTTATCCTCCCTTGTTGATTAAACCCAATCAACCTTTCAAAGTGGAAAATCTACCTTAGACTCTTGTGCAATTGCACATGAGCTCCTACACTCTTAACTCCTCCAAGCATTTAATTTCATAAAGGCATTTGATTGCATCAGTTGGTCTTTTGTCCTTAGTTTACTTCAAGCTAGGGGTTTTGGCACTAAGTAGTGTTAATGGATTAGTGACATCCTCTCCTCCTCTAAGTTAGCCATTCTGGTGAATGGTAATCCCACTCAATTATTCAATTGTTCTAGAGGCTTGAAGTAAGGTGACCCCCTCTCACCTATGTTGTTCATTCTAGTAGTTGATATCCTCAACAGAATGCTCCTCTCCAGTATGGAACGAGGGGATCTCTTTGAGCTTCACCTTAAAAGTGAGCTCAATAAGTCTGATCCTTTCAATTTGCTGACAACACAATCATCATACGTAGAGCATCCATCCCTGACATCACTATGCTCAAATTCATTCTTTACATGTTTGAAGGCATAATATTTGGTCTTGGCATAAGTTATGCCAAAGCCAACCTTTTCTATTTTGGCAAATCACCTTCTAATGGTGTCTTCCTAGCCAA